TCAGCCCTGCCTCACCCCCGACAACATTGGGATAGAGTCAATATACCCTTCCCGAGTGCACACGCGGACCGTGGCGCCTTCGTCGAACTTTCCCGGAATATCGGCAGCAGCAAGAGAGCTTTCGATGATTGCGTGGGGAACGGAGCCGAACGCGTCGGCCAAGTCCAACCACGCGACCACCTGCTCCTTAAGGTCGCGGGCTCTTTCTAAAACGCGGTGCTCTTTTTAAAAAGGTAAAAATCCCTTTTGGGCCGCGCACAAACGATTATTATCGATCGCCCAGCGCGTCAGGCGATCGGCCAGCACGGCGGCGAGCAGTTTAACGATAACGTCGCCCATTGCAATGGGCCGCCAGTTGCGTAGATCTTCGCGAGAGCCCTTCTTGTGCAAAAGCACAATAAGGCTCTGCTTCCACTCGCGAGGCATATGCCCCAGGCGAAGACATGTATTATAAATAGCGGTTAAGACCGTGGCGTCCTGGTCGGCCCTCCTGAAGTCTTCATACGTGACTCCATCCGGCCCGGGAGACGATTTTTTCATCTTCCTAAGCCGACGGAGCACCTCGGACTGCTCCAGAGGGGCAACCAGTGCATCATTAGATTCGGTGGACAGTTCCACCGTTTCCTGGGGCTGAAGGAGGGGACCAACTCCTTCCGTCCGCGCGAAATCTCTGTGAAATGCCTTTGGATAGTTTCCTTGAGCAGTTCACAGAAAGGGGAGTCCTTGTGGGTTTTCGGTTGGCCCGCTACAGAATGGCGTATCGCCATTGATATGGGTCTCCGTCGCCATAATTGCGGGCGCCGTCTGTATTTGGTGGTGGGGGTAGGCTCGCCGTCAGTTTGTCTCGAAGCGCTCGACGCTTCGGATCTTCTCCCAAGGATGGTAGTGGGGGAAGGCTCTGGCACAGTTCACGTTTGGACGGCGAGCTCTACACCTCGCCTGTCAATGTGTACGGCGCTTCCCGGAATTCGGCACTTGCTCGCGCTCCACGCACTCACCGAACGAATTATGAGTTAATAAGTCGATATTTGAGCGCGAGTAAATAAATAGTCGACCGCACATAAATTAATAAAATAGATAAATAATTGTTTACGAATAAATAACTAAAGACGTACACTAATAAATTAAACAAATATTCACGAGTAAATAAATAGGACCACGAATAAATAGATAAAACCGTGAAAAATAATACACTGACTTTAGCTAACTTCGAAGGAAGATTCTCGGCCTGATGTCTAACATCGAAGTACATTTCTCGTCTTGATGGTTAACTATTAATATCGTATCACGGCCACTCGGCTAATGTCGCGGTCTGATGACTAACATCGAATATCGTGTCTCAGCATGATTGTTAACATCAAAGCACGTTCTCCGGCCTGATATCTAACATCGAATGACGTGTCTTTACTTTATTGCTGGAATTGGAGGAAGTTACTCGGCCTGATGTTTAACATCGAAGTACATGTCTCTGCCAGATGGCT